AAATTTAGTCCAGGGCTCATATTGTTTGATCCGCAATTCAAAGCCCTGAGGATCTTAGGACTCTCCTGGGCTTCATGGGGAGAAAGGTTTGGGCTTTAGGGGCCAAACCGGGTTCTCGCTATGATAGTCCAAGAGCCTCAGGGTAACAGGTATAGAAGCACATTTGACAGTTATGAACACAGAAGGAATCCCTTTTCTTGGAATTGGAGCAACATTTCGACAATTCCATGCCCCTGCGCGCCTAGGTTAGATAGGCTTATGGGCTTCCAGGCTGTAGAGGTTTCGAGGCATGCCGGCAGCCAGACCCGGTAATAGACTGGGTTGCTGTTAAGGAGTTTAGCTTAAGTCACTTCATTGGGGATACCCTTTCTACACTATATATACCCATTATGGTAGCTTAGTTTAAGTTCCTTTACAGCGACCAGCTAGAGGCTTGGGGGCTCAGAGGCTTGTAGGACAGCGTGCGCTCGAAGAGGCTTCGAGGCATAAACCAACATCAGTCCCACTTTGCCCCTTCTGTGACTTCCACCTACTGGTTAGGGTTTAGGGTTAAGGGTTATATTGTCCCCATACAATTTATTCCCTTATTCTCTACTAATCCGCAGTAAGTGTATGGAATAGGCAGGCTACTGGCTGGAGTTTTTGTCCATCCTTAAGCCTCTATGACCTTCAAGCCGCCTATGTAGTATTCCATTTGGGTAGAAGCCCCTAGGCCCCACCTCAACGGGATCCCCTAACTTTCTGAAACTCCCAGGTCTTGCTGATTTCGAAGGACCTCGACATCGATGCTGCAGCGGAAGAGCCTGACAGCATCTTGGGTGAGCTTGTCAAAAAGAGCTGAGACCCACAGGGTTTAGGGCTTAGGGTGTGGTGTCACAAATTGGGCGGTTTGGCATTCAGGGTAAGAGTTGAGGGGATTCAAGGGTTTAGGGTTGGGCGATATAGGCTCTGGGGTTCCGAGTTTAGGTTGGAGTTTAGGGTTCGGGACTTTTTGGCGTACATGGAGGCTTCTGAGCAGTACGCGTTTTTGTTGGAATTCCTGGAACTAGGATGAGAGTTAATCAGGCATGGAGTTTCCAGGGGACCCTGCATTCGAGAAACCTCGACATGAAAATGATGCCGCCCGGCACTTCAAAACGCTTGATCTTGTCTTGTCATACAAAACGTTAAACCCCAAACTCTACCACCCCGCCCTAGACCCCCATATACCCCTCAAGCCTTCTAACCTTCTGGACCCCATACGCTCAGTACATATATATATATATACGTATATATATATATATACGTATATATATATATATCTACATATACATATATGTTAAATAATAGGGTTGCCCCAATATAGTAACTTAATCTCAATTCCTTGACAGCAACCCAGTGAAGTGCCAGGCCTTGCTGATGCTGGAGCGAGGCATTACCTTTGAAGAAGCCTGGACCTTCTGTGAAAAGTCGGGACCTCGGCCTCCTCAAGACAATAGGTTTCCGCGAAATTAGGGGTTCCTTTTTGGGGCTCCCCAATTTGGGGGTCTATATTGGGGTCCCCCTATGTTTTCTTAAACTATCAAGACAACCGGTGGTTGGGCTTCGTTGCTGTCTCGGCACTGTGGGGCTTGATTCAAACTCGCACGATGCAGGGTGAGCACCAAGATTCCGATGCTATGTAATGTGATCCGTGTCCCAGGACAGCATTATGTAGGACAGCAGTGATTTGTGCACATGTCCATGTAACGTCCGCCACGCGCATGGCTCCAAAAAGGAGACGACCCATCGTCTATCCCAATGCCGGGGCCTTGGAATAGATATTTCGATTTAATTATCCATGTTCTCTTCCATTTGATGTTCATAGTCTGGGGGCCGGTTTACCAAGATCCCACTCACTGCTTAAAGAATGTTTACCAGGGCGCCAGCTGTTGAAATAGGTGCCTCAACCCTAAACCTCTTATTGAAGGCTCTATTCCAGCTGCGTAGCTTGAGTTATAGTCCCCCTTAAGTAGATAGAGTACAGCTTTGGGTATATTATAATAGATCCCCATAATATACCCTATATTCTATCTACTTAAGGGGGACTATATACCCTAAACCCTAAACCCTAAATAGTAGTTTCCATGTTCTTCTCCATTATCCCTATATAACCCCATTATATCCCTAAGATTCGATCTTCTTAAGGGGGACTATATTTCAGTCTGGCCATCCTCGGGTTCAGCCACACTGTTTTTGCATGCAAAGTACTTCTAGAGCAAGTGGGGGTTTCCCAAATTCGGGGGGGTACCCTTTTTAAAGGGGCTTATAGGGGTTATATAGGGATAATGGAAAAGAAAATGGAAACTACAATTTAGGGTTTAGGGTTTCTCAAAATTATGGGGTACCTTTGTGGGGTCCCTATAAGAAGGGTTATCGTATTTTGGGGTCTGTAATGGAGGGACCCTTTTAAGGGAAACTGCCATGTATCTAGGTATTAATCAGAGACCTCCCTACATGCCCGCCCAAATAGTGGAGCCCTCATGATAAGGACCTCCAAATGGATCATACTTGTGATGACCCCCTCTTTACACGCCTTGGAATCCCCATAAGCCCGAAGTAACCTCAGTAATTAGCAACAACTCCCAAAATTTGTTCCCTGTCTGAGGTGGGATTCCAGCAGCAACTCCGACATCTAGAAAAAGTCATGGCAGAAGTGGTCGACTTCAAGGTTTCTTTGTAGGGTTTAGGGTTTAAGGGTTTAGGGTTTAGGGTGTGTTCAGGGAGTCTGGCTTTAACCTGTTGGATCAAGGCTCGCGTGCGGTCATAGGATTCAAAGCTCAAAGGTTTAGGATTGAATGTGGGTGGTGTAAACATTCAGGCATTAACACCTGGGATTATAGGGCATGGTGTTTCCCAAAGTAAGGACGTCCTTTAAAGTCCTTGGCTCCCTTGCAGGATCAAGCAGCTTAATTACTTATGTTTGGGAGGAGGAGTGGATCCCCGAATGAAATCTAAATCTATCCTTCTTTCATCCAATCGTGTACCATGATTATAGTGAATTGCCTAACCCTAAACCCTAAACCCCTTAAGTACAACCAAGACAAAGGAGGTCCTTTGAGACGCTTCCAAGCCTTTTGCGAAGCCTTGTCTTGAGATCCCTGAGACGCACAACATACAGATCCTTGAGGTCAGGGTTTAGGGTTTAGGTTTTAGGGTTTGTGAGGTGCCGGATATTGCACCTGCAAATCAGTCCTAAATTGGCTTAAGTTTCTGGGTCGGAACTATGATGATGATTCGGCCAGAACATAGCGGAATCAGGACGGTTTGTTGGTGCGATTCAAATGTTACATGGATTTCCGAGCCCCAACGCTTCTCAGGCGCCATGGCAGAAGCAAGTGAAGCAACTGCGTGAGGCAGGCACTGGGCGCTGATGCTATCGCGGTTGCTCTTGAAAAGGAGAAGGGACCCGAGGACCCTGGGATGATTACGGTCCACGGTCACCGTCATTCTTCCTCCGAGATGAGATCCCAGTTTTGAGAAATGCCTAGAGACTTCGTTCATGGAGGAGGTTCTTTGAACTTAGAATATCGTGTTTGAGGGCTTTACGGGTGACTCCTATGCTGGAACTCCCCCAGCACGGTGTACCAAACTCATGCACGCAGCTAGTATCACGGGGGCCCTGCATTTGGGTTCCTATTAGCTTGCCCTTTTTTGACAGCAGTGGT